CCCTCAGCAGGGCACTCTGGGCTCTGCAGGTGGGGTTAACGCCCAGCTGCCAGTCACTGTGCCTCTGGAATCATTCTGGTTTATTGTTGTTAGAGTAACAGCTTATGTGCGTTGTGTGTCGAGAAGGAATCATTTCACACGTCACAAAGATATGGAAATATTCAATAGAAATGTTGGGGAAAGTATATATACAAAAGATATTGAAATATCCAATAGAAATATTGGGGAAAGTATATATACAAAAGATATGAAAGTATCCAATAGAATATTGAAAAAAATACAAACTACAAAAGATATGAAAATATCCAATAGTAGAAATATTGTGGAAAGTATAAAGTACAAAAGATATGAAAATATCCAATAGAAATATTGGGGAAAGTATATATACAAAAGATATGAAAGTATCCAATAGAATATGTAAAAAATACAAACTACAAAAGATGTGAAAATATCCAATAGTAGAAATATTGGAAAAAGTAAAAACTACAAAAGATATGAAAATATCCAATAGAAATATTGGGGAAAGTGTAAAGTAAAAAAGACATGAAAGTATCCAATAGAATATTGAAAAAAATACAAACTACAAAAGATAAGAAAATATCCAATAGAAATATTGGGGAAAGTACAAACTACAAAAGATATGAAAATATCCAATAGTAGAAATATTGGGGAAAGTATATATACAAAAGATATGAAAGTATCCAATAGAAATATTGAAAAAAATACAAACTACAAAAGATATGAAAATATCCAATAGAATATTGAAAAAAATACAAACTACAAAAGATATGAAAATATCCAATAGAAATATTGAAAAAAATACAAACTACAAAAGATATGAAAATATCCAATAGTAGAAATATTGAAAAAAATACAAACTACAAAAGATGTGAAAATATCCAATAGTAGAAATATTGGGAAAAGTAAAAACTACAAAAGATATGAAAATATCCAATAGTAGAAATATTGGGGAAAGTACAAACTACAAAAGATATTGAAATATCCAATAGAAATATTGGGGAAAGTATAAAGTAAAAAAGATATGAAAATATTCAATAGAAATATTGGGGAAAGTATATATACAAAAGATATTGAAATATCCAATAGAAATATTGTGGAAAGTATAAAGTACAAAAGATATTGAAATATCCAATAGAAATGTTGGGGAAAGTATAAAGTAAAAAAGATATGAAAATGTCCAGTAGAAATATTGGGGAAAGTATATATACAAAAGATATGAAAGTATCCAATAGAAATATTGGGGAAAGTATATATACAAAAGATATGAAAGTATCCAATAGAATATGTAAAAAATACAAACTACAAAAGATATGAAAATATCCAATAGTAGAAATATTGGGGAAAGTACAAACTACAAAAGATATTGAAATATCCAATAGAAATACTGGGGAAAGTATAAAGTACAAAAGATATAAAAATATCCAATAGAAATATTGTGAAAAGTACAAACTAAAAAAGATATGAAAATATCCAATAGAAATATTGGGAAAAGTATATATACAAAAGATATGAAAGTATCCAATAGAAATATTGAAAAAAATACAAACTACAAAAAATATATATATATATAAAAAAAAAATATTATATATATATATATATATATAATATTTTATATATATATAAAAAATATTATATATATATATATATATATAATATATATAAAATATATATTAGAATATCCAACAGAAATATTGGAAAAAAAACAAACTACAAAAGATATGAAAATATCCAGTAGAAATATTGGGAAAAGTACAAACTACAAAAGGCTTGGAGAGCAAAGGGGGAACCTTGCCTGTGCATTAAAA